CAGGGTCCACCCAGGGCCCTACCTAGCCTTGCCTTCATTCCTCCCGACCCTCCACACCTCACAGCAAAGTCCACCCTTCTACCTTTCAAGGGGTGGATCTGCTGCAGGCCAGGCCCTGGGGTCAGAAGCCCAACCTGGCATGTTGCCAAGCTCAGGGCAGGCCTGTCCCCAGAACTTCCTGCTGTGACTTATTCCCTGAGCACAGTCCTCCGTTGCCAAGGCTGCAGGTGCCACCCTCTGACGGGCTCACCCTGGGTTACAGCATGCCAAAGAAAGGGCCCTGACTGCGGAGTCACTCCCTTTGGGATACCTGACACCATCTGGGGCAGTCCGGCCCTTCTGAGAGTAACTTCCAGGACATTGTGGTGAGGCCAGGCACTTTCCAACCCCGATGCTTCTGTACACATTTCCATTAAATAATTAACTAGCTTGTCCCTTCGTTCTTTCGCATAGCACTCTTTACTGACACATCTCTGTATCTGGATGGGACACAATCTTCAGATAAGGGGCCAAGCCCCAGGAGCTGCAGGCCAGTTAAATGAAAGCGAGGCCCCCCAGGCCACACCTTGGCCTGGGCCATAGTCAGGCCCTCACCCTTCCTGCTCGGTCCTCTGGGAAGTCGTCTCCCTGAGCCTCAGCAACCTCACCTGTGCCATGGGGCAATGCGCCCTACAACATGGGCTACTGAAGGTATCAGGATGAGCACTGGCCCTGGTTACTACACCAAAGGGCTCCGCAGGCCTGTTTGCCCAGGGGAAGGGCTCCGTGATGGGACCAGCCTGTGCGTCCTTTCCGTCTCTCAGCCTCTCGTTCCTGCTCCATCATACTAGATGTGGTTACTTAAGAAAATGTCAACCCAGTGCAATGTGTGGCCTGTCTGGACCCTGATTCACGCAAACCAACCACAATGAGGCATTTAAGAGGCAATCAGTGATGTTTTCACACGAAGTGGGAATCAGGTGACACAGGAGCTATTGTCGACGCTGTGATCCCAGAAGTGTGATGATGTCAGAAATGTTACAATTTTTTTAGAATTGCGTATATTTTAGAATGAAGTTTGTGGGGTAAAATGACAAAATGTTCAGGATTTGCTTTAAAATAGTTTGGGGGATGCGGAGGGGATGGATGAAGCAAGAGTGGCAAAGTCTTGAAAATTCTAGAACCTGGGTATAGAAGAGTTCATTATAGTGTTTTTAATTTACTTTCGTGCTTGACATTTTTTTCATAATTATAAAAAAGAACTAGGTCACAGTCTAGTTCTTTTTTATAAAAGAACTGTAGCTTGCAAACCAGCAACATCGGCACCACCTGGGATGGGAGCAGGGATGCCAGAATCAGCAAATAAAAATACAGGATGCCCAGGAATATTTGAGTTTCAGGGAAACAACAAATTTTATTTTTAGTGTTCATATGTCCTATGCAATATTTTACTTACACTAGGAAACTCTAGGTGAAAAGAGCTTAGCAGTTTCTTATAAAACTAAGCATGTTTTACAACCCAGTGACTGCACTGCTGGGCATTTATCCCACAGAAACGGAGACTTAATTTACGTTCACACAAAAAAACCTGTATGCCAACGTTTATAGTAAGTTTATTCATAACAGCCCCACACTGGAAACAATCCAAATGGCCTTTGACAGGTGAATGGTTAAACAAACAGTGGTGCATTCATACCACAGAATACTACTCAGCAATAAAAAAAATTTAAAAAAGAAAGAAAAGCTATTGCTACACAGAGCAACTCGGATGGATCTTTTATGCTGAGTGAAAAAAATCAAGCCCAAAAGACTACATACTATATGGTTCCATTCATATGACATTCTTAAAATGGCAAAAGTATAGAAACAGAGAACAGATTAGTGGGTGTCAAGGGTTAAGATGACAGTGGGAGTGAGGGAAGTGGGTGTGGCTCTAAAAGGGCACCATGGGAGATCTCTGTGATGCTGGCAACGTTCTGTATCTTGACTGTATCAATGTCAATATCCTGATTTTGATATGGTACTTGGGTACTAGGGTACTCTGGTACTCGGATACTCTGGTCTTATAAGTTGTTACTATTGAGGGCAATTGGGTGCTCTGTATTATGTCTTACAACTGCATGTAGATCTATCATAATCTCCAAACAAAAAAATTTAATTAAAAAGAAAAATAATAAGCAAAACAAAGTTATTTGATGTTTATCTGAGATTCAAATTTACCTGGGCATCTGATATTTTACCAGGCACCTCTGGAACTTGTTGGAATGCAGACTCTCTAGCCCTACTTGAGACCCACTGAATCAGGATCTGCATTGTGACACTCAGGTATGAGCTCTGACTAGTGGCGTCTCACTCCTGTTGTGCCTGGAATCCTAGGAGTCTGTGACAGTAGCAATTAGCATGTGCCCTCAAGCTATTTATGATACTATTTCAAAAAGCCCAAAGGGACTTGTACATTTTACCTAAGATCAGGTTGCACAGGGCCACTAACTTTCAACCCTCCAGTGGCTTACCCCCTGGACTCAGAAGAGAGCAAGACTCCTGCCCTGGCCTTTGGGGCCTTGACAGTCCCAGCCCTGTTCCCCTCTCTGATCACCTCCCACTGCTTTTGCACCTATGACGATGCACCAATTTGTGTGCCAAACACACCAAACCTATTTCCACCTCAGGGCCTTTGCACTTGCTATTCATTCGGCCAGAACACTCTGCCTCTAGAGCTTCAAGTGGCTCTCTGCTCAAAAGCTGCCTGCCCTGATCCTCCTATCTACTTACTTACGCATCCCTTAAACTATAGTTTAATTTAGTCTGTTGTTAACTTTTGGTAAATAAAACGAGACAGTATGGAATGTATTTGGTTTCTTTCTCTCACTCTTGTCTTTAAGATTCACCCATGTTGTAGTATTTGTTTGTTTATACTTGGCTCCTTTTCATGAATGTGTATTTTCCACACTATGGCTATACCATAATTGATTCAATTCTCGGACATTTTGGTTTTTGCCATTTTGTGATAATACACACAATGCTCCTCTGGACGTGCTCGTATTTGTGTTCTGTGCACACAAGCACACGTTTCTGCATGGTATATACCTAGGAGTGGAATCTCTGGGTCATAGGGTATGTGTATTTTCCTCTTTAATAGAAACTGTCTGATGAAGTGTATGATGGTAATTTCAATATATTTACCATAAGAACTTTCAAAAAAAAAAAAAGAAACTGTCACACTTTGTTCCAAAACACGTGTGCCAGTTTACCCTGCTACAGGAGTTTACACTGCTCCACAGCCTCGCCATCACTTACTATTGTTAGGTTTGGCCAGTCTGGTGGTTGTAGTGGTGTCTATCTCACAGTGGCTTACTAATGAGGCTGATTAACTTTTTCAAATTTTAGTAACCATTTGGATTTTCTCTGCTATGAGATACCTGTTCAGGGTTTGTTTTGTCCTAGTCCATTTTATAAATTCAGGAAGTGAACTCTTTGCCATGTTTATTGTGCAAATATCCTTTCTCACTCTGGCTTGCCTTTGCCTTCTGCTGTTTTATTTTAAGATATTTTTATTACGCAATTTAAAAAATAGCGACAGGACATTCAGGCTTTCTATTTCTATTGGAATCAGTACCGATAAGTTATATATTTTTATAGGAAAGTGACCATATTGTTAATGTTTTCAAATATATTGTCATAAAATTGCCCATATTAGTGTCATGTTTTTTAGCTCTGCTGTCATATTGCCTTTTTTGTTCCTGGTGTTACTTGCACCTTTTCTCTTTTATTCTTGACCACCTGTCCAGAAGTTTGTCTATCATTCTTTTTTCTAGGAACAAACTTTTGGCTCCTTTGACCCTCTTTAATGTCTGTTTGTATTCTCTTTCACTGATTTCTGCTTTTTATTATCTCCTTTCTCAAACTTTCTGTGGTTTACTCTGTTGTTCTTTTTCTAACTTCTCAGGTGGAACATTTTCAGCCCTTCTTCCTTTCTAAGCATTAGTGCTACACGTTTGCCTTGAAGCACCACTTTCTCTGCATCCCGTAAGTTTGGAGATGTATTTCATTATCACTCAGTTTTAAGTAGTTTTACATTTCCATTTTGATCTCTTCTTTGACCTGCAAGTTATTTAGAAATGTGTCTTTAAATTTCCAAATAAATGGGAATTTAAAATGTATCTTTTGTTATTGATTTCTAAGTCAATTCCAATGGGATCAGAAAACGTGGTCTATGAGATTCCAATTTGTGTTTATGATTTTAACTTCTGCAGTTTTTTTTGGGGGGTGGTGTCTAAGTCTGTTGTTTCTTATTCGTGGTGGCTGACATGCTGGGTGATCTCAGATTATGAATTTTCCTGATCTTAATCTGTGGGGCTCCCGTCACCTTGGGAAAGCTTTCCTCTGGAGAGACTGTGTCTCTGCTTCCGCTGCGAAACCAGAGGCGCTACCAACCCAGGATCTCTCTAGACCCTTCGGAGGGTCTACCTTAGGGCAGAGAGTCAGGTTCCTGGAAAGATCTGCTAGTAGGTTAATCTATATGAAACTGCCATTTTGGGGGTCGAAACTGTTAAATATCAGCAAATGCATATGGTTCAACCTACACTGTCAACATCTGCCCACAGGACAAATTCTTCCTGTTAACTTGCTGCTTTCCTCTCCTCCTTTGAATTTGGCTTAAGGTTTGTTTCCTTTTTGGGGGAAGGGAGGAGGCTTTGGAAATTCCCCCAATGTCTTCTGAGCCTGCAATGCATTAAAATTATATTTCACTCAGGAGTGTATTGTTTTGCAGTAAAGTGGAGGGAAGGTCCCAGGAATAGCTAGGCAACTGCTGAAATGCCAGGAGGGGTATATTTTTCCCAATGAGAAAATCAAGGCCCACAGAGGTGAAATGACTTACTCAAGGTCACACAGATGGTAATAGGCAGGTCTAGGACTTTAACCCATGTACAGTAACAGAAACCCAGGCTCTTTCTACTTTCCGTCTATCCTGAGATTCCTCCAGAGAGCTGTTTGGGCCTGGGGCTATCAGGCATCCTTACCTGGTGCAGGGGGATGACGAGGAAGGCCCCCCCACCAGCACACTCAGTCACAACTGCAATGAAGTGGGGGTTCACAGCGCAGAAGTGATTGTCATGGACGCTGTGGGTGATGGGCACCGAGTCGTAGCAGTTCTCCTTGCTGGCTGGCTTGCCAAAGACGTGGCGGAACTTGGAGCTCCGGTACTGGGGGTGCCATGACATCTGCAGAAGACAAATGGGACAAAAGGAGTGTGAGGCTCACTTCCCTGACAGAGGTGCACACGGGGATCTCACCTTGAGAATATATAAAAGGGCGTGACCAGGACAGTGACGAACTATGAAGTGCAACCAACAGGCTATCATTGCGGCTACTTCTATGGACCTGCTGAGATGTTGTGAGATGGTACATAGTTATTGCTGACCCGCTTGCTTTTCATCCCTTCAAATGTGAACACAAAACAGCAGAAAAACCAGAGTGAGACCTCACCACATACCCAATCCACCATCTCCTGCACCGCTGCCCCCTCCCAGTCCAGCCAAGTGGGTAACACTGTGCCCTCGAGAGCCAACCTGCCTGTGCTCCAGTTCCAGCTCTGCCTCTTGCCAGCTGGGCAGGCAAGTGACTTAACTCCTGAAGCCTCCATTTTCTCATCTGTAAAATGGGGACAACGGAAGTATCCTTCTCATAGACTTGTCATGAGGATTAAATTAGATGACACATTTAGATCCCTTAACAGTAATAACTATGACCACTATTATCATCCAGGCATCCTGAGCTGCCCTAGCCTTATATTTATTCACTCAATATTTATTAAGCACCGCTGTGTGACTAGGCCTTGTGCCAGGCACTGAGGTTTTGGAGAGAGTAAGCCTGAGGCCAGCCTTACAGGAATGAAGAGTCCTGTGAGTCAGGCCACTAGGGGAGTCTGGGGCCCTAGGAGCCACGGCACTATAGGTAACAATGGAGGTTTGCACATGGCAGTCAAGGAGGGCTTCCCAGAGGTGACAAGTGAGTTGTGATTTGAAGGGTGAGTAGGAGTTGGCCATGTTGGCAGGACAAGGGAGAACTTGGGGGAAGGTGTCCCAGGTAGATGGAACACTCTCACCAAAGTCCCTGAGACAGAAAGAAAAATGGACTGATTGGGCAACTGTATGTAACTTAGTATGATTAGCAAGGAGATATTAAAAAGAAAAATATATACATATATAAACATACAAATTGGGCAATGTGAGTGAAGAGAATATAAGCTGGAGGAGGGAGCAGGACCAGATGATGAATGGCCTGCAAGAGGGTCTAGGCCTCCTCTGTGGCCAAATGCATGAGACCAAGTGGCCTCCTCTTAGCCTCCCTGCTGCTCAGGTCAAAACCCTGCCCCCAGTCTCGTTGATCCCACGGGGTCCTCCCATCCATCCTCCTCGTGTAGGCCAGACAGATCCTCTGGACACCAAGCTTGGTTGTACTCCTCACCATCCCAGGCCCCATCTTACATTACCCTTTGTTGCTCCTCATTCATGGCTGCCCTACAGGTTTAAGGCCGAATTCAAGGTCTTCTGGTTGGGTCCCACCCCATATTCCAAGATTCACTTTTTCTTGCTCTTCTTCTAAGGGTACCTTCCAGATAAAGACCACCACCCAGATTCCCTTGTGTCTGCTCTCGCACTTCCAGTCTTCTGGGGCCTTTGCCCTTGCCTTTTCCTCTGCTAGCTTTCCCGTCCCAGCTTCCATTGCCTGTACCCATCTCCACAATTCCAAGTCTCCCCTCCTCAGCTCCCAAGCCCCCTGCTCCAGAGTCTTCCTTGATGCCCTGAGTGGCAGAGCTCTTGCTGTGTCCTCTGCTCTCCACAGCTGTCTCTCCTCCCTGTCCTTAGGTCCCTGATGCTGTCTGCCCTGATTTGGAGTTTGGTGTCAGTTCTTATCTTCCCTACCAGATCGCAGGTGCCTCAGAAAAAGGCCTGGGGCTCTGCTGCAGGAGTGTCCAGCACAGTGTCCACCACAGGCCCCAGGAACTTCCCAGGGGAAGGCATGTTTGGCTGGACACCCACACCATCAGGACAAAGAAGGTGCTTGCCCAGCTTGGGTGGCCAGCCTGAGGGTCTTCTCTGTGCTCAGTTAAAATGCACAAGATTAGACTGTTGACCTCAGGAAGCCAATGGTGATCAAGGGCCTGACCCATGAGCCAAGCCCTTAGAGGTGGCCCACTGGCCTCATGGGGGCAGGTCTGTCCTGTGAGACTCAGACATTTCCACTCTCTCTTTGGGAGTTTTGCCGAAAACCCTGACTACATTTGCCAGAGCTACAGGAAGCAGCACAGAATGCCGGGACTGACTAACCAATGCCCATCTGATCCCAGAAAGGATGTAAGAAGCCTTATAGAAATAAAGAACACAAGATACAAGGAAATGGAAAAGCCACGGCAAGGAAGTGGGGAGAGAGGGAAAATAAAGGCAAACACCGTGATCACCTGAAATGCAGGGGTAGGTAAGTTAACGCATGTGTGCTGCCAGGTGCCAAACACAGAGGAGGTGGCTTCCTAGTGGCCAATTCAATAAGGGAAACAATCAGAAAAGGATTTAGTCAGTGTAAGAGAAAAGCCACAACCTGACAAGGAGCAGCACGGCTTTTCTCTGTACTGGGTCTTGCAAGAAATGGTTGCTGGGGGTCCTGTCAGAAAGGAATAGCAAGGACAAAGGCACCCCTAGGGCTTTGTCAATTAGGTGGTAGCTGAGACGCTGCCTTGGACCCAGGCTGGAAAAGTAGGGGGAAGTTCGCAGGCTCAGCTCCAGGTCCCCCACCCCTGCAGCAGCACACCCAGCAGCAGCAAGGTAGGGTTACAGGGGCACTTGTCTGTGGCAGACGGCAGTGCTCACAAGACATTCCATCGCTCCCCTCACATGCCAGCCTCCTTGCAGTTTGGCAGCCATGGATCAGTTCTAGCCAATGGATCACGGGCAGAAGTGCCGTGTGCCACTTCCAGGCTGAATAGGTAAGGCCTGCCTGTGACCCTCTAGAACTCTCGTCCTCGGTGGAAGAGATGAGAAGGCCGTATGATCTAGATGGCGCAGCTTCCATCATCCTTGGTCCCCAAGGGATTGTATGGAACAGAGCACCTCCCCCAGCCTACTCATGCAGGACACACAGTGTGACGAAGAAATAAACGTGCAGAGTGAACCACTGAGATAGTGGGGTTATTTGTCACCGAGCATAGCCTACCCGTCCTGACTAACACACTGCCCCACACAGGCCCAACCAATGGTACTTGGCAAACAGCTGCCTATGGTTGGGGTGGCCAGAGCACAGAGGCCTGCAGGGAAGAGGTGGGTGAGGGGCAGGACTCAGATCACCTCAGGAGCCATGTTAAAGAAACTGGACTCTGAGGGCAACAGAGAGCTGCTGCAGGGATTAGAGCAGGGGAGTGAGAGGACCGTTTTCATTTGTAGGTGGTGTCCTCTGACTACTGAGAGGAAGAAAGGGTGGCACAGGTGAGAAGCGATGGTCACCTGGGCTGAAGTAGGGCAGAGGGGATGGAGAAGAGGGGACATGTTGGTGAAATACCAAGGAGAGGGGACCAACCAGCCTTCATGCTCGAGTGCCCGTGGCAGGCTGTGGGGCATGGGGGCAGGTCATGGCTGCTGAAATCAACAGGACCTGACAATCATCAACAGTCCTGGCCCGTCTGGCTACTCCCGGAGCTCTCCCTTCACAGCCTGGGGCTTGGCCCCACACCTGTGGGGCAGCTCTCTGCCCAGGGTCAAGGTCAGGGTCAGGGGCTGCAAGAGGCCTGGGTAACGACTCCTTGAGCTCACAGTCACCTCCATGGCAATAACAACTCAGTTTTTGGATAGTTGCTACATGCCAGGCGCCATTCCAAGTGTTTCCCCTGTATGAACTGAACAGGTAGGTGTTGCCTTGCTCCCCATTACAGATGCAGGGGTTGAGGCAGAGAAGTGAAGTAACCCACCCAAGGTCACACAGCTGTAAGAGGTAGAATTGGAAGCCGAACCCAGTTCTATTTCCCAATCCAGCTCCAAGTTCTTGCAAATCATGACTATGATGACAAAAGCTCTTTCACCCCCACTTCACCCTGAAACCCCATCGCCATTATCACCTCCACTTTATAGAAAAGGAAAACAAGGCTCAGGAAACTAAGTGGACACGCTTTAGAGAGGGGGTTGTTGGCCTTCACGGATGCAGCCAGCTGGCCTTGAAGCAGCGTGAACATCAGTGACCATCTGCCCTACTGCCCCAGCCTCCTTTCCACACTCTCCCTCACCCCTCCCAGCACCTTATCTACATTATCTTCACTGCCAAGATTCTTCCAGACCTATTGCCATGGAGGGAAACTTACAGAAGTGGGGGGTGGGGCAGCACCAAGCCAGGCGGGCCACCTCTTCCTTTGCCCGTGGTATGGGAGTGTGTATCTATCTATCTATCTATCTATCTATCTATCTATCTATCTATATAATATATGCAGGGGAAGTTTGTATAATTGTGTATGCACTGGGTGTGCAAGTCTGTGCACGAGCACTGCATTCACCAGGATGATCACATGTACCATGTACTCACTTCTGTGGTGTGCATGCATGTGTGCATCTGTGTGGGTGTTCAATTGCATCTGTGCATATACATGCACATGCATGCATGTGTATATCAATGCATGCATAAGTTCAAGGACCCGGCAATTCAGAGAACAGGAGTTTTATTTTCCCTACAAGCAGGCACTTGCCTGGAAATGCGGACCGTAGCGGGCCCTCAGCATTGCGAGGCCTCACCCACGGGCTGGGCCAGGATGGCTGATCGGAGGCCAGGATTATCCCATGCCACCTGTCCTATCCTGCCCAGTCCCATCCAGCTGGGCCCACATCAAAGCCACAGCAGGCCTTCTCAGGCATGGCACAAAGCAGGGGTGGCATTGATTCTGCTGCCGCTGTCCTATGCATGCTTGGTGGCCCTGATGCCAAGGGATTAGGCTCTGTGGGCTGTGAATTCCACCCGCTCCCCTCCCGCCCCCCGCCACTCCCCCAAAAAAAGGATTTAGTCATCTCTGGGTTTAACATTCCATTGATTTGATTTCTTAACACCTGACAGTGGAATGGCTTGCTGCCTGTCCCATCCCATACAACTCTCCGGGGGACTGTTGAACCTATTTGGTGGAGAGGAAGCAACTTGACCAAGATCAAATGAGTAGGAACAGTGCAGACGGGAGGCAGAAGCCAAGCCCTGT